ACATATGCAATACCAAATCAGGATGCTATTGGCTATTAGTGACTTCTTCTTCAGATTTGGTATGCCATATGAACTGCATTCAGATCAAGGCCGTGACTTCGAATCAGCTGTGTTCCAGGTATGCTGCAAGTTGTTTGGCATACGAAACACCAGGACAACGCCACTTCACCCACAGTCTGATGGGATAGTAGAAAAGTACAACTGGACACTGAGACAGGAATTGGTAAAGTTTTGTAATAGTCGCCAAGATGACTGGGATGTCTTACTCCCTCCAATGTTGATGGCCTATAGGACAGCAGATCATGAAGCCACTGGATACACTCCAGCAAAGTTGATGTTTGGTCGGGAACTTCGGTTGCCAGTGGACCTGATAACAGGATGCCCACCTAACGAAGAGTGGCTTGAAAATGTGTCAGAGTTCGTGAAAATGTTATCTGAAAGGATGGATGATATTCACCATGATGTGCGTTCAAACTTGAAAACTTCTACCGATTCGAAGAAGTTATATTATGGTAAGAGATCTACTGAAGTCAGCTTTGTACCAGGAAACAAGTTGTGGTTGTATAATCCCAGGAAGACCAAAGGAAGTCTCCTAAGTTGTCATCTCCATGGGAAGGTCCATATGACATAGTGGATCGTCTCTCAGACGTGACTTTCCGAATAAAATGTGGTCGGCGAGATAAGCCAAATGTGGTGCATGCCAACAGGCTTTGGCGTTATCATGGTCCAGGATATTTAAGTTGGGACGAAGTGAACAACAGAACAAATGACGCTGCTGAAGACGTGTCACTTGAAAAAGCCACTGTCGAAGAAGAAAATCTACTCGGTTTTGAGAAGGGAAACAGTGAAGCCTTTGATGAAGTTACTACCACTGATGTGACTGTTACCGATGATAGGAAATTGTTAATTGTTTATTGGTTTAATGTAAGTGGCTATTGTTCGGGACAAACAATACTACAGAAGGGGCAGTGTTACGACAGCGGAAGTCACGTGACGCTAATAACACATCATGAGCTTTCTAGAAAGTTCATGTCCATTCGTGAAGCTTCGAGTGTTTACTAGATGTGCGGTATTCTTGTATATAAGACCGCCAACATCTGACGGCAACAATTTAATTGAATTGCAGATAGAGATAGAGACGACAATTGAGTCAAGCGCATGAATCGTTTGTTCGTTGTGAATTATAGCGTTTGTTTAAGTTATAGCATGACTGTGGAAATTAAGTGTATTGCAAAGTTGTATTGAGAAAGAATAAACTAGTTTTATTTAAGAAAGGACTTGTGTCGCTAAAGTTTCTTCGGAAAGAATTTTTACGGAAAATTAACAAACAATCAGATCATTTTGTATTCGTAATTCGTGTTGATGTCGAGGTTATTGAACAATGTAGTTGCTTTTTATTGATATCGAGGCTGTGGAGATTTATAGAAGGCCTAAGTGATAGACGTATAAATAGCTGCGACCAGACAAGCAGAAAGAAAGTAAAAGTAAAGTCATATGAAAGAGAGGTTTGGTCAGAGAAACGTTAAAAAACGTAAAGTTAACTGTTGTGGGAGTGAATGGTCTAACAGTTGATATGTTAGAGTGAGATTAACAGTTTGAAAGAGATAAAGAGAATAATTTGTCTCATAAAAGAGTGTTCTAAACCTGTTTGGACTTTGACAAAAGGCAGACGAGTATTGGAAGTACGAAGAGCAGACGATTATTAGCAGTACACAAAACAGAGGACTATTGGAATTTCAGGATACAACTGCAGTAACTCACTCGACAGCATGAGTGAATTATGCATGAATACTGATAAAAATAGAGAAAAATAGTTCGTCTTGTCAACTGAATTCTAAAGCAAGTGAATTGGCCTAAGTAGATTTTTGACAAGAAGAAGAGAGATGTATAATATTTAAGATACAAGTATAATTTCCATAGTGTAAATAATTTTGTACATACAATTAACTTCTTTCGAATATGTATATTATTTTAAAACAAGTGGATTGCGTGCTGTTCGTTTATTGTCGAATTTATCACCAACAGGTAACAGACACCTACTGTAGAAGAATCCTTAGTCCAATACACCCATATATTTACATTACTATCTATACTACTAAAAAGTAGTTTCTGACATTTGGCGAACCACAGCCAGGATTATACAGTGGTAAACGGCGGTAGAAGAAAATGTGAATGATAGCAGAAATAAATAAGCCTATATACGCACAACTGTAACAGTAGCACAATCACGTTGTATAACCATCTCAAATTTTGATAAATGAATAGAAAGAGGATTATGTCTCGGTTTAAAAGATGGTGAATTACAAGAGTTTGTTAAATAATAACTGGAGAGAGAAGAATGAAAACAGAGAAGAGAGGAAGAAAGACTGAAAGGAGGAAATAAAGGAAAGGAAAGACTGGAAATTGACAGAATAAGAGCACAAATTGAGATTGCAAAGCTCACCCAACCAAAGGAAGAAGGACCCAAGAATGAATGACAACAGAGTCTACCAAAGGTGAGAGGAGGTTGATAGTTAGAAGGGAGAAGAGATGTTATGTTTGTTATAAAAATGGGACACACTGAAAAGGAGTGCAAGTCTATAACCAGAAAGCAACAGCAGAAATCTCAACATAAAGCAGCTGGAGCTATTTACAAAGATAGTGCTGGTAATAAAACAAGAAAGAAGTAACTGGCACTATGGACGTCACTGCCAGAAGAAACATAATCAAGAAAACATGTCAGACACACCAAAATAAGAAAGTGCCAATTCCATGATTGATCAGTGCACGACTGATGGTCAGCTCAAATTAGCAAATGGATCAAAAGTGCCAGTAGTGCTTGGAGCATGTGATAAACATTAAGAGATGATGCCAAATCACAACATGCCAGTAAGTGAAGGATATGTTGGGGACAAGAAAGTGAAGGTTCTATGAGACACTGGGTGCAGTAGAGTAGCAGTGAGAACCTGTTAGTATCTGATGATGAGAAAAGTGCATCTCTGTGTGCTAATTGATGGGACTATGGGGAAGTTTCCCATAGCAAAAATAAAGGTGGATACTCAATATTATGTAGGAGACTTTGAGGCCATGTGTATGAAGGCACCAATATGTTACTTGGTGATTAGAAACATACAAGGTAGTAGAAAGTTTGAGGAACTAGACAGAACGAAGATTGATGAAACATCTACAGTCACCATCAGTGCACAAGAAAAGAAGAGCAAACAAGACATCAAGCCCCTGCAAGTATCAAAAGGCAACATACCGAATGTTGGTTTGCAAGAATTAAAGGAAACACAGAAGAAAGACCCTTCACGGCAGAAACTTTGGGACAATGCCTGGGAGAAAGTCGTGCACAAGACAAAGAGGAAAGACACTTATAGAATAAAGGATTGGAAGGGAGTACTATATTGGATCTATCAAGGCAGTTATACTGGGGAAGTTAAACAGATCATAGTATCAACAGAATACTGGACTCAAGTGATGAAGTTGGCTCGTGAATGAATTGTGAGAGGATACCTAGGAACAAAGAAGATGGCAGACAGAATCACCAGTAACTTCCATTGGCTGGGAGTCTTTGGAGATGTGAGTAGATTATGCAGGTCATGTGACATTTGCCAAAGGACAATACCTAGAAGGAAGGTAGTCAAGGTGCCATTGGGAGAGATGCCTCTCATACAAGAGCCATTTAGCATTGTAACTGGGCAAACAGTATGTGCTGACAGTAGTCGACTATGCGACACGTTATCTGGAAGCAATAGCACTGGCAAAGATAGAGACAGAGAGAGCAGAAGCCCTCCTGGAGGTATTTTGCAGAGTAGGCTTTCCAAGATAAATACTGAGTGACAGAGGGACCAAATTTACATCAGAACTGATGCAGAAAGTGTGCAGATTAATCAGTACTCAGTAATGTACTAGCCCTAACAATCCTAGATGTAATATACTTTGTGAGAGAGTCAACGGAGTTTTAAAGAGCATGCTGAAGAAGATGTGCTGAGAGAGACCATGTGACTGGGACAGGAACTTGCAGGCAGTATTATTTGCTTATTGAGAAGTCTCACAAGCAAGTACAGGATTTTCACCCTTTGAATTACTGTCCAATGCAAATAGTAAATGAGTTATGGATGTGGAGAAAAGTCAGAAGTAACGAACACATGCCAGTATGGGTTAGACCTCAGAAAATCACTGGAGGAGATCTGTCAACTCGCTCGACAGAGCTTTTATGCAGCTGAAGGCATTCAGAAGCATTATTATGACAAGAAGGCCAAGGATTTGCGTTTCAAGGTCGGACAGAAAGTCTTAGTTCCGCTGCCCACAGACCACAACTACTTTTGAAGTACAGGGAGTACTCAACAGAATGGACTACAAGGTGAATGTGAATTGGAAGATCAAGATCTACCATGTGAATCTGTTGAAGAAGTATTTCAGGAGAGAAGAAGACCTAATGGGTGCAGTTATTGAAACAAAGATGGATGTTGCAGGTGTAGCCATCATAGATGCAGAATCAGAGGACAGTGACTTTGTCTTAGGAAATGAGGACCTACTAGACCTAAGACCATTAGATGGTGATGAGACATACAAAGATGTCAACATTGGTGAAGAACTGACTGGCAAGTGGAAAAAAAGAGCAACGAAACCTATTGTGCCACAACTCAGATATTTTCATGGATAGACCAGGGAAAGACAGATCATGTGCAACACAAGATCGAGACCACAACCAGGGATCCATTCAAAGTGAAACCCTATCAGAAGATCCACTGATGCAAAACGACCTCTTGTTCTATTATTTTCGCTGCTATGATATGTGTCTGTATCATCTTTTAATACTATTTCTCTTTCCTCCTTCCATTGTCACATATTGTTTTCTTATTTTACGCTTTCAGCGAATTTCCTCCATACACTTCAATACTTCTTTCTTTGCTTTCCATTCCGGCCCAAATCCACTTTTTAGTTTCTCTCTCTTACTCAACCATCTTTACTTTTATCTCTTTTCTCCTCGATGAAGAGAGGGTGTGCCCCTCTAGTAGCCTGACAGTTTTTGACTGGAATAAAATGTTTCTCGTTCCTTCATTCCTTCTCTGTTTGGTTAACTTGTGTTCAGAGTTACTAATGATGAGTGGAATTCTTCGAAACTAGTATAACCCAATAACACACATTGATCAAAGTGTAGATTGAATTGGACCTATATTGAACGTAGACTTCGAAATTAAACAATTTTCGAAATACTAAGTTTATTTATTATATCTGCTATTGTGCGGCTGTGTAATGTGAAGAATTGAATAGTAGCCAATGACAATTTTTCTTAACGTTACCTATCCAGTTTATAGGTTTTCTCATAGTGACTACAAAGCATGTTCACACCAACAGTATGTTTGAGTTGTACAGTTTGACAAATACTTTATTTATTAACGACCATGGTTTCGCCAATAAAGGCATCATCAGGTGCAAACTGAAATTATTTATTCTTACCTTCTTGGTAGGTCTTTATGATATTAAAAAGAAATTAAACAAAAATTTGCGATTTTCCTATACTGGAGTGGTCAGAGAACTGTGTCCTTCTTCGTCTTGGTTGTGGAGATTAGATGCTTGGTTGGCTTTACTGAAGATTAAATTAACACAAGAGTATTGTTACTCAAAGAGTACATATCTGTGACATATTGTTCAAATATTTCTTTGTTTTGCTAAAGCAGTTTCAGTAAATCCTGTTTTGTTAAGTTTTTTTTAGCACCGACACTATAATCACAACCATTGCCGAGTGGTTGCAGAAATAACATACGTGATTTGTGCACTTTATGCTCTTTACCACAAGTCGATTGTTAAGCTAGATTTGTTCAGTTTATAATGTGGTATTTTATTTTACATCTTGAAAGTATGGAAGCTGCAAGTCTTTATAGTCATAGAAAAGTTTAGATGTATATATCTGTATTCGTATTTAGAAACCTCCGTTTAAAGACCACACATAATGTATATATAAATGTAGATAAGACAGATATCGTAGACCAGTGTTATAACTATAGTTTCTTATTTGGGATTTCATTAAAACATGTAACATACTCATAATTCTAATAGAGAGGCGGCTGAAAACACTGGGTATAGTCTTATGGTTAGCGTGTTGGACTGTACATATGAGATCCCGATGCTGTTAAAAACATATAAAAAATAATATACCGCACTTTGGGGCCTTGAGTGTATTATGAAAATGTCGATCCAATCTCACTCCTATGTTATAGTAGTCCAAGAGATCACTATGAGTGCTGTTGACCAGTTGCCTTCCCAATAGTCTACCAACTTTAAACTTGAGACAGCTAGCGCAGAGAGCTCCGACTTGTGCAGCCTTGCGCAAATATTCGAAGTAAATTGACCCTAACCTTACAACCAATAGTACCTGACATGGCCAGGTGGTTAGGGCGCTAGACTCGCAATCTGCGGGTCTTGGGTTCACAACTATTAAATCTGTCAATAACCTTTCTTCACATAGGGTATAATAGTAATTTATGACAATAATGCTGTTAAAATATAACTGCTAGAAAATGTAAACATAGGGTTTTAATATTGCACAATGGCAACTATAATTGTAAAAACTTCCAATTGCTGTAAGTATGTAACATGTAATTGTAAAACAACAACATCTATTAAACTATCACGAAGAGTAAGTTCTTAATTAACTAGATGTACTTTCGTAGGTCTTCGAAAGTGTTGTTTTCAATTATAACTGTAACGAACTTGTTATTATATCAACGTTTGTTTAGATTAAATTTATATTTAGAAACATACA